GAGCCGAGGCTCTCATGCACATCGTTGGTTTGGTTTGCAATGGAGCTCAGGTAAGTATGGGGGGGGCAGAGGGGGCTGCTGCAGACAAAAGGTTAAGCATTTACAACCACTTTAACAAGTTAGTTCACCTTTTCAGAAAAAATGAAAAGTAACTAACCCCGTACAGCCTCCCAGTCCGTACTGCACTTACCAACTGGGATGTTGAATTGTCAGTGCCTGTGCAGTGGTCTGAAGATTTGAAATCCATGCTTCTACCTCTTCTCTGTGGAGCTCTTCCTGGGCAGATCACCACAATTCTGATTGGTCAGGGAGCATCAAAATCAGTTTAATGTTCCACTATTGAACAGATTTCTCAGTCTTGATGAATAATTATCTGCAGTTCCCAGGCACCCAGAGTGGTGATAAATCCAAAGAATCAGCAATTCACCACATTTTAATTTGCATTGCATTTTAATTTGCAAGCAGATCTAATATAGATCAGGGGCTTACAAAACAGGGGGAATGCCTTCTTTAAGTAGCAATCATGTTACAGCAGATCAGAAATGTTATCTCAAGTCTTCTCAGAGTCTTCTGGATGGGTCACCTCTCTCCAGTGGCATATACTGACTTCTTCTCGCTCCCCAACTCATTGTTTGCTCATAGAGGTTTATGAACACCGTCCCTGCCCTCAGGTGACAACAATGGGCCAGTCAGCAGTGACGGATCAAACTCTATGAAGTCAGTCGAAACCATGGGGTCCCCCTCACAGGTGTCTGGTCCACACACTCTAGTGGTATAACATTGAACTAGTAGTGTGAACGTTGGCCGCTAGATGGAGATGACCATCACTACTGTACATTACACATACGCAGGTTGCACTAACATTTTTTACAAACTGATGGCTGAAAGAAAATGAACTTTTATGAGACAAACTGCAATGTGAACCTGATGTCTATAGTTTAGGTACTTTAAGATCTTATTGGGTACATTAATACGGTATTTTCTCTATCGAGTCTTTAATGTTTTGTTTCTTCGGGTGGATTCATTTTTTCTCTCTTTTTCAAACAATTTAAGAAGCTTTATTGTAATTTCCTTCCAACATCAAATCAATACTATAGGCTGGTGCCTACTATGTTTTCTGAGTCATGCACGGGCAACTCAGAACACATTTACGGCACTGTGCCACGATGATATGACTTCCATGCGCATGCTAGGGAGTGACATCATCACAACCTGGCCACTTAGGAGGCTGAAGAGACAGAACACAGAAGGAAGAAGAGGAAAAGATAGAAGTGCCCAGGACCAGCCGGAGTGGTGACAGCATAGCCTTGGAGGGCTGTGTGTGCAGGGCATACTAGCACATTATGGCATAAACCTGCAGGGGCCCATTTTTAACCACTTTACAACCACGCTATAGCCGATTGACGACTACAGCGCGGTTATCCAGTTCTGGGAGGGCATCATATGATGTCCTCCCAAAATGCGCCCCCCAGCTACGCACACCCGGCGCTGTTAGTAATCACCTCCTAAGGACACAGCTGATCACATGACTAGGTAAAAGGCCAATTACAGAGGCCTTTTACCATGTGATTAGCTGTGTCCAATGACACAGCAGATCACAAAGTAAATACAGTTGCTGGTTATCGGCAGCACTTTCCTCACACTGTGACATCATGAGGAAAGTACTGCCAATACTGATGATCAAGGCACTGATGGTTAGTGCCCTGATCATCAGTGTCCAGCAGTGCCACCCACCAGTGCCCAGCAGTTGTGCCCATCAGTGCCCATCAATGCCGCCCAGCAGTGCCACTCATCAGTGCTGCCAGTCAGTGCCACCAGTCAGTGCCATCCATCACTGTCCATCAGTGCGGCCTGTCAGTGCCCATCATTGCTGCATATCAGTGCAGCAGCATCAGTGCCTCCCTCATCAATGCCCACCAGTGCTGCCTCATCAGTGTCACCTCATTAAAGCAGCCTATCAGTGCCCATCAGTGCTGTCTAACATGCCACCTCATCAGTCCCATCAGTGCTACCTATCAGTGCCCAGCAGTGCCGCCCAGCAGTGACACCCAGCAGTTGTGCCCATCAGTGCCCATCAGTACCACCCATAAGTGCTTAGCAGTGCCAACCATCAGTGCTGCCAGTCAGTGCCAGTCAGTGCCATCCATCAGTGTCCATCAGTGCCAGCTATCAGTGCTCATCATTGCTGCATATCAGTGCAGCATCACCAGTGCCTCCTCATCAGTGGCCACCAGTGCTGCTTCATCAGTGCCACCCATCATCAGTGCAGCCTATCAGTGCCCATCAGTGCTGCCTATCCGTGTCACCTCATCAGTGCCCATCAGTGCTGCCTATCAGTGCCTATCAGTGCTGCCTATCAGTGCCTATCAGTGCAGCCTCGTCAACACACATCAGTGAAGGACAAAAAATACCTGTTTGCAAAATTTTATAATAGAAACAAAGAAAAAACGTTTTCCCCCATTTTTTTTTCTCTTTTTTTTTATAGTGCAAAAAATAAAAACCCAGTGGCGATTAAATACCACCAAAAGAAAGCTCTATTTGTGTGAAAAAAAATGATAAAAATGTCATATGGGTACAGTGTTGCATGACCGCGCAATTGTCATTCAAAGTGCGACAGTGCTGAAAGCTGAAAATTGGCCTGGGCACGAAGGGGTAAAAGTGCCTGGTAGGCAAGTGGTTAAAAAAAGTTTGCATAGTTTAATACCACTTTAAAACTTAAATTATGAATAAGTTATTGTAGGTTGCAGCAAATTCGAGCACAGCACACTGTTAATAAATAAACAAATCCCAATGACAGCAGTTAAAGTGACAACAGATAATATAACGTATATGTATGAGTTGTTTTTTCTATAAATTTCCTCCTCTGAGTATCCTTCTTATATCGTTCCCTGGCCACACTGACATCCCCCCTCATTATATTTGTTCCTGTAGGAGTCTCCTCTACGTGCGTGCTCCTGCTCTGTACTACAAATGTTGAGTTCTGAGCAGGGGCGGACTGACAACTCATGGGGCCCCCGGGCAATAGGGGATCAAGGGGCCCTTGTGTCCTCGCCCACACTCAAATCACACCCAAAAAAGCCTATGAAAGGTACCAGGGACATCTCATGGGGCCCCCTACTGACCCCGGGCCCTCGGGCAGTGCCCAAGTTCCCCAATGGTCAGTCCGCCACTGGTCCTGAGCATGGCACGCTCAAGCAGCCCAAGCAGGACACATAGAGCAAAAGCCACGCCTCTCCTCCTCCTCCACAGCAGTGATTGACAGCGACTGTGAACGGGTTTGTACATGTAACAAGAGTCCACAGAGCACTTCAGGTCTCACACCGGCCAAAAACTGCTTTATTGGATTTCTGTAAATACCGAGAGGCTTCCAGCATCAAATAATCTGAGACAGCATCCCCACCAACCCAAAAATAAATAAATAAATAAAGACATAAATTACAGCCTCTCTGTTATTACTGCACACTTCATGCCTATTTCAGTTAGGGGAATGGATCTTCTATCCAGCTCTACAAAAACAATTCTTTTACTTACAAGGCTGCCATCACTTGGGCTAAGTTCACACTAGCGTTGTGTGCAGACGGCAGAGAGGGCGTTTGGGAAGTGTTTTTTACCGCTTCCCAAACGCCTTTGCCAATTCTACACATTACAGCACATGGTGCTGTTCTAACGGGAGCGTTTGTGTCGCGTCGTGTTGTGTCGCGGCAAAACGGACGCCTCTGGTCGAGTCAGGAGGCGTTGAAGCCTCCTATTCTCGTCTATGGTGCCACTCCGCAAACGCCCGGCCGGCGTTTGCGGTGCAGTTGCAACGCGGTTGCGGGGCGTTTGCTGAGCGGTAACACCACTTAAACTGCATTATAGGCATTTGTGGGGCGTTATTAACGCTCGGCAAATGCCTAGCAACTGCCACTAAACCGCGCATGCGGCTTTGCGGAGCATTTGCCGAGCAGTAAAAAACGCCGGCAAACGCCGGACCAACGCTTGCCAAACGCTATAGGAGCGTTTGGCAAGCGTTGGTAAAACAGCCAAGTGTGAATGAGCCCTTAGTCTCTCTCTGTAGATCAATGCAAAGCATTGAAAGACAATTTATGAAAGCAGTTACTTCCTCTAAAATGAACGACCACATCAGTAGCATAATCAGACATAATTTGGCCAGTTTTTTGTTAGGAAACCCAGTTTGATATCCCAGCAATGCAGAGAGACTTCTAACAGTTTACTATATTTATTTCATACAAACCTGAACTGCATGAAACATTCTTCAACACACATTTATGCAGTCATCTGGAAAAAAATGACTCCCTTCTTACTTCTATTTCAGAGCTTCTTTTACATATACTTGATTGACCATTATAGTTGGCATTCAAATATTGGACCTTAACCACTTCAAGTCCGGACACATTTTCCCCCTTCTTGTCCAGGCCAATTTTCAGCTTTCAGCGCTGTCACACTTTGAATGACAATTGCGCAATCATGCAACATTTTACCTATATGAATGTTTTAGCATTTGTTTGAGACAGATAAGACTTTATTTTGGTGGTATTTATTCACCGCTGGGATTTTTATTTTTTTGCTATATAAATGGAAAAGTCCAAAAATTTTGAAGAAAAGTGTTTTCTTATAAAATTTTGCAAATAAATAATTTTTCTTCATAAATCTTGGCCATAATTTATTCACTTATCTTTTTAGTGAAAAAAAAATAACCCAAATTAGTTTATAACCAAAAATTATAATTTTTCAAACATTTTGTTTTACAATTTTATTTTATTTTTTTACATTATTATTTGTTTTTTTTTTTTGTTTGTTTTTTTTAAGATACTGTCACCCTTGTAGTACTACCTGTACTACCATAGTGACACACTGTACTACTTGTGGGGGGTGATGAAGATTTTTTTTTTTACATTGATTGCTGTTACAACCATAAAGGCTGTAAAAGAAATAATTTCTCTTTCTCTCTGGCTGCATTCTTGCAGAGCTGTGATTGTGATTTGGTCACAGCTTGTCACATGGTACAAGGCTGTTGTGAATAGCACTGTACCATGTGACCTCTGTGATCATTCACAGATTTCACACGTAGTAAGCAATGATGTCAGAAGTGACATCTTGTTTACTACTATTTATGTGATCACTGATTGGTCAATCAGTGATCACATGATCTGGACCTCACACAGAGATCCCGTACAGCGATCAGTGTTCCGTTGTGTCCTCACAGCGGGAACCAGATCGCGGTGCCGCGTGCTCCCAGGGAGCACGCACAGACTAAAATGTCGGGCCTCGTTTATAAACGGCCACCTGCTCCTGCACTGCTCCCGTCTGGCCGTTTATATACATGGGCCGGACGGGAAGGGGTTAATAAAGGCATTATTTGACTTGTTCATAAAAACCCTTGGTAAAAGTATGTTCCAGTCCAAATACACACATGAACTTATCGTGGCAGCAGAAAAAAAACGCTGCATGCGGCAAAAACGAGTGTAAACGTGGTACTGCGTTTAGCTGCATTTACCTGCTTTTAGCTGCGTTTAGTGCTTGGATGTTTATTCATTTGATTGGACAGAGTATTTTCCATTGACACAGATAAACGCCCAAGCGTTTCAGCCAAAACTGTTTTCTTTCTGCTGGCAGTTTATAATGAGGGTAATGTACTGCAAAGGTCAAGCATTTGGCTTGCTGTTAGGCCTCATGTACACTGTTGCTCCTAAACGTGAGTTTAGCCCCTGAACTCAACTCAGTAAAAGCCTACGTGTCTACATGTACACATAGGCTTTTACCAGAGTTTAGGGGCAGTTAGATGTTCTTCTTCTGAACGCAGAAAAATACCGTACAGGAGAGGAAAGTTTTGGCCAAAAATGCCAAACGCGGCAAAATGGCGTGTAAACATGGCTAAACGGTAAACCCTAGCTGTGTTTAGCGCTTGGGCGTTTTTCTGTGTCAATGGAAAATACTCTGTCCAATCAAATGAATAAACTTCCAAGCACTAAAGACAGGTAAATGCAGCTAAACAAGGTACCGTGTTTACCCGCGTTTTTGTCGCATTTAGCGTTTTTCTGCTGCCAGGAGAGTTTAACGACTAGGTAAGTTCATGTGTACATGAGGCCTTACGACAAGGCTCCATTGACTTTCATGATATGTCATGCTAACTTTGCTGCAGTGGGGGATGCAAAGCATCATGGCTGTAGCATGTGAACACCCTCTTCCATGGCCATGGCATGTACACAATCTCCTCCATGGCCATGGCATGTGACCAGTCTACTCAGGATCAGCTGCCTGCTTTTACCACCCCCAGCTGTCAAAGTAAAAGACGCCTTACTATCATGGTTTCAATGGTTTTGGCAGACAGAATGTAAGGGGAAAATCTACAACTGCAACATGGACATGTAGCAGTAAAATGTAAATTGCACCACCTATGACAAAAAACTTTATTGTTCACTGAGCATTACATGAACTGCTACACCAGTGGTCTCCAAACTGCGGCCCTGGGGCCAGATGTGGCCCTTTGCCTGCCTTTATCCAGACTTTGAGGCATTATTCCTGTCACTGACACCAACAATGGGGCACTATTCCTTCCACTGACACCAACGATGGGGCTTAATTCTTCCAATGACAACAAAAGTGTGGGGCATTATTCCTCCCAACGACACCAACTATTTGCCCAATGATCGGGCATTGTTTACTCCCACTGGGCACACACCGCTGCCCCTAAAGTCTGAAAGACAGAAAACTGGCCCTTTCTTTAGAAAGTTTGAAGACTCCTGCGCTAGACCATACCCCTTCTCTGACCAGTTCATCATCATGTTTGATGTCTGTCCCATCAGGGGCTTAGTCATACAGGTATGCCAGACAAAGATAGCACCACAAACAGACTTTTTTAAGCACAATGAATAAATAAAAGCTTGAACCTCTTTCATTTTGCTGTCTGCACCCCTTTTGCAGGTTTTATTTCTCTTCCTGTCTGGTGAAACTACTATCACCTTGACAGTAACACAGGAAAAATCTTCCTAACAAAGCCTCAGATTGGAGGAAAAACGGGGGTCCAAATAATTATTATTATACAGGATTTATATAGCGCCAACTGTTTGCGGAGCCCTTTATAACAAGGGCAGACAGTACAGTTACAATACAACACAGTAGGAGATAGTCGAACAGATTGGGGTAGGAAATTCCAGAGGCTGGGAGAGACTTTTGAGAAGTCCCGGGAGGAGGTGATAAGGGAGCAAGAGAGCAGGAGGTCTTGGGAGTAGCAAAGAGAATGGTTTGGTTGGTATTTTGAGACTAGGTTAGTGATGTAGCTCAGGGCAGAGATGTTAATGGCTCTGTAAGTTGTTAGTACTTTGAACTTAATTCATTGGGTGAGCAGAAGCTCTATAGAAAAAAAAAAGGTGGCTGAACATACACTTTAAACCTTGAGATGCATATGGCGGAAAGAACCTGCTACATCTGGGCTTTGTTATACTTTTCCATTCTACCCCAGTTGTCAAGGCCACACTTTTGTGATGGAGGAGAGATGTTACCAGACACACAGACTGCTGACTTACTGCTGTTTCAGTACTAAAACGTTTCTTGTAGCCACGAAGAATGGAACCTTCCTTGGATTTCTGAATGTGGATAGTGACACTGGTAGCAGCAAGACAGGAGTAATATAGCACAGAGTTCTAGTGGTACATCACAGTGACCATGTGGGTTTTTTTCTGGATTTTGGCTGCAGTGGATTACACAAAAAACAGATTTAGCTCAGTTGCTGTGTTTGCTGGATAGCATTAGTAGCTTACTGATAGGTTTTATTGTGACTTGGAATTGCTTGTGTGTTGTGTATTTAGCAATGCCACTAGGGTGCACTATGGAGATGTAGATAGAGGTCCTAAAGTTAGAACACACCGATTTGAAAATGAATTCAATGGTATATTAATACCAGATCTTTGATACACTTTACTAATTGTGTTCAGTGAACTTGGTCTTAGAAATGTAGGCACATTGGGTGTTATTTACTAAAACTAGAGAGTACAAAATCTGGTGCGGCTCTGCATACCAACCAATCAGCTTTCAGGTTTTATTGCCAAAGCTTAATTGAACAAGCTGAAGTTAGAAGCTGATTGGTTACCATGCACAGCTGCACCGGATTGTGAGTGCACCAGTTTTTTAGTAAATCCCCCCTATTTTGTAAACTATATTTGATGTCTATATGATGATCTTTGAAAGAGTGAAATCCTAGTGGCATTGTTTTGTAGCCAGTTATGCTGTTTTGCCAATTTATACCAAATTTATCCTTTGAGGCCTTTTCACTACACTTCAATGAAAACTAACCACAATGCATCGAAAATGCATGTCCATTGATGTATATTTAACATGCATTGTCATGTGCATTTTTTTTTTTCGTTATGCTGACTTTTTAGGCACACTGGCCAACTTTTTATGTTTAATCTACTTTTATTAGGTTTTCAAAAAATACATCAAACAGCTTACATGGTTCCAAACATGTACACAATGGGTGTCCCAAAAATAATCACAGAAGTAGGTAACTAACACAAATACACAATCTGAGTAGAAAATTAAGAATCGTATAGAACCATAGAATATCACATAAAAGCTGGGTGAAATTAAATGTAGCCAAGGGACCATGGTCCAAAGTTCAGTACCGTTTGTGTACAGTCAGTACACTACTGATATACCGATTGAGACAAGATGTAGTACAGAGAAAGAGAGAAAAAATACCCTCCCTAGGTATATGATATATAAATTGAGACACTGGGCTTAAGTTTGGAAAACTGTAAAGTGCAAATTCTGGCACAGCTGTGCATGGTAGCCAATCAGCTTCTAACTTCAGCTTGTTCAATGAAACTTTGACAATAAAACCTGGAAGCTGATTGGTTTCTATGGAAAGCTGCATGAGATTTTGCATTTTCCAGCTATAGTAAATCAACCCCATGGCGTTGTACAGAGGAAGAGAAAGTAGAGGAAGAGAGAAAAAGACTGTTCTGTATTCAGATCATTGTATTGAGTAGGGAGACATCTATTAGGCATTCACTGCAATTGCTCCTGTTTTTATTATTCATTTCAACAAGAACAGGGAGTGTCTTGTTAATAGATTTCCCATAAACCACTGCAGCCATTTTAGCTTTCTGAAGAACTTCAGCGAAGGTCTCCTCCATTCTCCCTTTGATACACATATGCCTGTAAGTTCATTCATTGTGTTTGTTAAAGTCACATATATATCTGGATTGCAATTAAATGTATTTAATGTGATTTGTTGGTAGCTGTTTACAAGAAATGTGTTCATCGTAGGCATTTGTGAGAGCCATGTTCACATACATATTGTACCTTCAGTTTATGTGACCGTATTGCAGTTTTACAGAACTATTCACAAAAGTAAATTAAATTTTGGAATAAAAAAACACTACTGTCAGTTTTGTTAGCCAGCTGTCGGCTAACCATTAGTAGGACAGCATAAAGACCCTGGGTTGAGGGAGGGCTGATAGGGAAGCATGCAGAGGAAAATAAGATAGAAACTAGGGGGGAGAAAGAAAAAAAAGGGGGGGGTTTAGGGTTTGGGAAAAATTAATGGGGATTCACCCTATAGGCCAGTCACCAAGTCAATGATGGCTTAGTGTCAGCAAATGGAGAGGATACAGAGTCAACCCCCAGAAAGTTCTACACACGAGAGGAAAACTCAGAAGAATATCTGAAGTATAACTAGATTGTCCAGGTCAGCTGAAAAGTGTTCGATTTGCCATTTTCCCCAGAGACCATCTGTTCCATATCATATATGACATCGAGTTTACAGGCCCACTCTACCAGTGAAGGGGTGTTTGGCTTTTGCCAGTTTCTGGCAATAATGGTTCATTCAGCCGTGAGGAGGTGACATAGATGTACTTTTTTTCTTTGTCTATATGACCCAGGGATCCACGAGAGGATGGTGAGTTGAGGGGTATTTGTTACTTTATTCCCCACCAATTTATGATATATCCCCAGTATTTTATCCTAGAGGGGGATGATCAAAGGCCACAGACTCCCTATTTAGGTAGTTTTACCAGGGGCTGACTGGCATCTCCAGCAGGAGTCCAGGATAAATGGGTCCACACTGTGTAGTAAGGTGGGGCATCTATACCATCTGGAAAGAAGTTTATTACTGCACTTCTGTGCTCTGGAGTACATGGAGGTCTTTTGGCCCACATTTTACGTCATCCTTTATGACAGGTCCCTGGAAGGGTCATAATACTAACACGTCATTTTTTTTATATCTTGGGTTTCTAAGCTTTCATATGCTTTGCGTTGCATTTTAAAGCAACACACATGTACACATAAGTTTGGTGTGATCGTGGCACTTAGAAAACCATTGCTTTCTGCTGTATGTGCCCTTGCAATTACACTTAAGACTAGTGATTTTTTTT